CTTATCATTTAAAATAGAATCAAGTCTATTTCTTAAAACTAATGAAAACCAATGACAGAACCACATTTTTGAGAGTAAAGATTTTTTTACTTTGAAAGCGCTGGATCCCAGAGAGTGATTATCAAATTCTGAGCAATAAATTCCACACAGGAGACTTTTGGTTACTTCTGGTTCAATGCAGGACAAGCTGTTGCATTAGCCACTAATGCACGACATCCCACCTGCACCGAAACATGGACGTTCACCGGGACGTCCCTCTGGAGAGTACGATCTACAGCGCTCTGACCGCTATCTGACCACTTCAACCATCAGCGGAGTGGACACGCGTCGCCCGCTGCGTTAGCCCCGGTTTGAGGTCGGTCAAGCCTGACAGGCATTAGCACATATGGCAGTAAGAGCTTTAAAGTGACTTCAAAATGATATTACACAGCTAGCAGTTAAGAGAACAACTCACGCTATTCCATAGAGTTGTAAAACACGTATGTGAAATCTTTTTTAAAACGTGGATAACACAATTTATATACTGAGATGGACTAAAATATATTATTATTGCTAATTTTTGTCACTCAGTTCAGATTGTAAAACTATAAATACATTTGATTTTAGATTTTTTTTCTAAAACGACCAGACACAGATTTTTTTTCTAAAATGACCAACGACAAATAACACTTTTTATGATATTCTAAAATTTTTGATGACACCTTAAAAAACCATGGCAGGAGTCGTCATATCACAGGTTTCTGTCATATCTTTAGATCAGCATTTTCAGACAGAAAGGAGAAACAAAGAACTACCCATAGCTCTCAGCCCAAAGCTTAAAACAGGGACTCACAGGGATCTTTCTAACAAGTACACAAAATATAATGTGTTTTCTTATAAGATGAGAACAACAAGGTGTAGTCTGATTTGTTCACAACATTTGACTTATTCAAACGCTCTTTCTGTTGATCGTAAACATGTGTTATTAATGGGAAAAATAAAGTTAGGCACTTTGATTGCAAACGATGTGCTCAATATTCAAATTATGCAGAGCTTTAGAACAAATCTATTTCACACTTAAAGCCACCTCTACTAAATGTAAGTACAATAGAAAATACCATGGGCAGACTGTTTGATCAACATGAATCAATAAACTCCCTATATACTGTAGATTGGCTTGCATACAGTACATATGGTGGCCATGTCAGAGGCCTCTTGCTGGTGCAGCTTGCTGGTCTGGCCTCCTCCTGTGTGAATGAGGCGTCTCCCAAGGCCACCAGCCGGGTTAAGTACAGTATGTACTTACCGCTGCATGTGTACACTGCTTTTAGCACGAGGCCATTCAACAGCAGGGGACTGTGCCGCGGGAGGAATTACTTACTATTTACTGCAATTAATAAAAGCTTTCATAATAAAAAGGCTGCGATTATATGTGAGTTTACAGTTCTTTTAAACCCTTTGTCAAACAATAGGCAGTTCTGCGCAAATAACAACTCGCTGTTTCCACAGTCTCTATTTAGGGACGGCAAAGTCTGCTTTTGTTGCACGCGCACAGAAGCGATGGCTCAAAGTAGGTCTTGCTTCATTTTGAATAAAGCTTTTGGTATGGACCATTTAAAGTGAATACGTTTTAAGCAATTATTTAAATATAATTCATAAAGTAGCATCCTGCTTTAAGACAAATAGTAGAAAATTCTATGTGGATAGGGAATAATTGTTTTTAATGTGAATTTTATGCAGAATTCAACTAATGCAGCTTATAGTATAGATCCACCTATTCAACCAACACTATTCAACCCACACTATCTGAAATGACGTGGAAAGCAACAAACTAACAACCAAAGAGCATTTATGAGCACTTCCCTATTTGGCTTGTTTAAAAGTTAGCACAGTCCATCTGTGTCACTCTATGGCAGGGGTGCTCACACTTTTTCAGCATGCGAGCTACTTATAAAAGGATCAAGTCAAAATGATCTACCTACTACAAAAATGCAAATCATATATTTATTTCAAAAAATATTCTTTATACCTACAATGTATGTTTATGTACATGCAAAACCGCATGAGCCAATATAGCACAACAAAACACAATTACCTATGTACATTTTTTGTCATTACCCGAGTTTACTCTGATGACTTGCACTGAATCGGCCAGGGATGCATAGTCCGGAAAATTGGTGGTAACTCGCTGACAAGTTTGTCGTGGTTTAGCTTTCCTGCACTGAGCGCGGTTGTTTGCGCATGTGCAGTCACCTAAGTGTCAGTAAAACATTACTGAGTAAAACACAGATGTCATTTGACTGTGGTGCCATGTCCATGTGCCATGCCTGTTTTTTTTAAATCCAAATATTTCCCCTCCTCAGTTTATAAAATAATTGGCATCCACACATCTGCGTTATCAATCACATTCGTAACATTCCAAACATGTGCGTCTCTTACGTCCTGTCCTGCGTTGGGGAAAAACACAGAAGTGGGCGGAGCTTTGATGCAGACGCCGGTAACGGCACTTTTACAGTCATAGAAGACACTCAGAGTAAAGATGTATGTTTACAAGCACTGACCCCGTCCTCAGCCCTGATTTAGCCCTGGTTTAGCCCTGGTTTAGTCCTGGTTTAGTCCTGGTTTAGTCCTGGTTTGGTTGTTTTCGAGCGTGAGTCCCCGCGATCACTTTGCTGCTCTCTGATGTGGATAGAGGATGTTCGCTGCTGCGAGCATCTCACAGCGAACAGTTTTTAAGGTAGTATGATCCATGCTTCAGTGATCAGAGGAATTTAGGGGGGTACTGTGGCGCAAAACTCCGGTTATCTCTGTCTACACACAAATGCATTAACGGAGTTTTCAAAAATCTCCACTTTGCCCGGAGTTTTTTGTATATATTCGTTTAGAATGTGTATTTATTTATTTAATGCGATCTACCAATACTACCTTTGCGATCGACTGGTAGATCGCGATCGACGTATTGAGCACCCCTGCTCTATGGTATCCAAAAAAGTTGGTGAAACCATGGAGCTTTTATAAGATAGTATCTGCATTTCCTTCTTGTTTGGCAGTAAAGGCCCCTCCATGGGTATTGCAGGAAAAAGAGAACTGCTCAGAAATAACCTTTCCCATCAAAATACCATGATTAGACATCTTAGCATCGTTCTTAGCTGTCAAACCACCTACCGTTTTCATAAAGGTCGGCCATGTCTTTTTTTGTCACTGGTTTTCTATTAACTCACACTTTTATTATAAAAATCACCTGGATCATTCTCCACAGCTCTGGTTGAACAAAGCATCATGAGGGAGGTGGCTGTCGTGCCCATGTTCGGAGAGGCAAGCTGCTCGAGGCTAATAAGCACGGCCCATTGACTTGTATTGGCGAACAGCGTGGACCTCCGTCTGGGGTGACATTATCTGAGCACCAAAAACTCTAATGCCGGACAATACAGTATTACCCAATCAAGATGACCAGGGCCAAGGTTTAAAACATACAATACGCCTGCTTTAATTTAATAGTGTTTTTGCCCATCTCCTGTTGGGGTACGTAGCCTTCACTGTCGGTATGGATGAAACAAAGTAACATGCCGGAAGAAGGGACATAAGTCTTATTCGTCAGTGTAGGGGCCAAGCCAATAACTCTGGATTGCATTAGAGAGGAGAGCAGGGGGCCCGGGTGGATGGACCTGAGGCCGCTCCGGTTTATGATCCACTTTAATGGGATTAGAAGGCAGGATGTTGCTGCTGCGGGGGTTAAACCACTGCTGCAGGGTTAAACATGGAGAGTGTGGTTATGGGAGAACGGGGAGGATTGCATTGTGTTGCGAAGAGAGGCAGTAGCAAGAGAAGAGTGTTCTGTTCAAAGACACATCATATGCAAAATTATCTTTTTTGAACCATATAATTTGCTAAACTTCCATGTCATGTGTCAAACATAAACAATTGTTGCCAAGTTTTTTTGTTGCACAACTATTTTAGGTGATGGTCCATTCTTAACCTAAGTTTTAACATTGAGTTTACAGAATATGTTTATGGATTATCTAAACACCATATCCACTTTCTTAGCTTTTACTACATAAATGGGTGTTTGATAGTGCTCTCTACATGTCCAGGGTATTTGTTTGACATTTTAGTGCAAATTAGATAAAACAGTTCATGTGGCACCCTCCCTGAGGTTGACCAAACTGCATTTGAATTTCATGTCTGTACTTTTTGTTGATTCTGGTGCTGTGTGACATCGCACAGCTCTGCTGCGGTGGGGTATAAAGCCAGCAATGTTGTTTTTTTTACATTGGTTTTACGTACATTTTTAGGTCAGCAAAGTATTAGTTTCGCATTGAATTTGATTCCATAGCATAGCTTCTCTAGTTTATAAAATAACAGTTGAAGTTTATGAAATCACTGACGTTTTTGCAAGCTTCCATAATTGTTTTGTTCGGACACCTTTTCTCCCTTGTTTTTGTTCTTTGTCCAGTTGTTTTGGGGTTTGACAATATTAAACATTAAATATTATACACATACTGGGACAGGGGTTGTTCACCTTTAAGGAAGGCCAGTTCAATTAGATACAATTATATGATCAATGTATTCGATATGTGTTTGAATTATTTATTTGCAACAGAGATTACAAATTGATGAAAACATTAAATTAAGTATTAATTGGCAAAAACAAGCACCTATGAAAGCCCCAATGTGTGACCTCACACTCATTTGGGTCCTAACACAAACATAACAACCCCACAAATCCATTCAGAGCAAGCAGAAAGGCGAGCAGTGACCTTAAAGTCAATTGACTCCTAGACCCCCATGGGTCATGTCCAGTCTGCAGTAATGAGTGGAGTCAATTATAAAGTCATTAAAGTCATTAAGCTGTTAGTAAACTGTGCTCTGTGAGAAAGGGGGACACAAGAATAATCGCCCCAGTGAATATAAAAGAGCTCACAGAGAAAAGGAGCAAATTAAATTCCAAGATTCTAATATACTCTCCCACTGCATTATTGAACTGGGTTACTGAAATTAAGATAGAATATAAACAGTCTTACCCGACATATCCCGGTTGACTCCCAGGGCCATCCCGTCTCGTAACCACAGGACCATGCCGTGGTAACCAGGTATGGAGCAGGGAAGAGTGACCGGCTGTCCCGCCACCACCACCAGGTCTGTGGGCTGCTGTGTGAAGACTGCTGCATCGCCTGGATCAAGCAAAGAAAGACATACATAAAGATCAGGTGAGAATTATAACACTGTCTAAACAAGGCAAGGCAAGGCAAATTCATTTATAAAGCACCATTCATACAGAAGCAACCCTGGGTGCTTAAACACAAGAAAGAAAACTCAAAGAAAGAAAATAAAGCATTATCGTCTTATCACTTTAATCACTTCCCCCTAATGGCCTATTGTGAAGAAGCATGATTCCATTGAAAAACAGGTCAAGACAATACTGCAGAATGAGAGATTAGTTTATGGACCAACCCTTCATATGAAAAAAGCATACTGTAAGTCCCTCCTTCCGGATAAGCACTAGTCTAGTAAGGCAACCCTGCTTTCTGTAAGGACACTCATTTTATATCGTTATCATTAAATAATCCAGAATTGAAGATGAAAACAACCCAGTCTGACCACTCAGGTCGCAGTCTACATGCAAGGCATCAGATGGAGCCTTGGGACGCTTTCACCGCTATCTCGTAACTTTTCCTTAGCCCTTAAACTTTGCCATCCTGCTTGACATACTCTATGGCTCAACTTTTGGCAAATGTAATCACACAACTTGTTTACTTTGATTATTTGATTCTCACACAAGCTCAACAACAAAAGCCCAAGTACTTAGATTTTTTAATTAATTAAATGCGCCGTTTCATTTCTGAGACCACTTTTATTTTCATGTAACGAAACCAAAAGAAAACTATGAAACTTGTGTGGCGAGGGACAGCACTTCATAAAAATTAGTGATGCCTATATGCGTCAAAATACATACATTTTAAATATGAGCAGAACTTTTCCTGTACAGTAGTATCCGGCTTAGATCTGAAGTATTTATGGTTCGATCCAGTTGCAAGCCAGTTATTCCAAACAGACTGACACACCTCAATTGGAGCACCTGGGTTTACAGGCTTCTTGCTCAATCCATTTAAATTGGACAAGACGAGTTATTTGTTTTTCACTAGAGCTTTCCATACTCATTGGCGTTGAACAGGGACTGTATCTGACCGCAGGAGGCTTACGGTTCTGCTGCTGCCGTAATTAATACAAATGTTGTTGAATCAGGGAGATGACATGAGAGGGCTGACACGGTGCAGTCAAATCATTTACTCAGGAGAAATATAATCTAGCTGCGATCATCGTTGAACTCATCTCTCCACTTGGATTTACCCCCTGACTGCATCATTTCCAGTTGGATTTCTCAGGCCGCCCGCGACATTGAGCGATGACATCCCCTGAAGGCGCACAGATGAGTCGGGCGCGCTGGGGTAATATTGACAGACTGTAACCCCGTTTGTGCGCACATATGGTCCGCAGTACAATCCCCCCCAGGCCCCACACATCCGCGTCATTATCTGTCGGCTACATGAGACTTCTGCGTCTTTAACCCAGTCGGTGTGATTGCATTCAGACAGGCGTTTGACACGGCAGATGTTGGAAATACAATGCGGTGATCTGTGGCGGTAGAAAAGTGGCTGTGGCTTTTACAGAGACTGTACTGTGTTTTGTACCATGTGGTTGAGTGAAACCTGTGCTGGTAGAGTATGTGTGCAGATACTGAGGTTTTGATGAGATAACTTTATGTGCTTTTCCTCTAATTAATAAGCAAGTTACTGCATGCGTAACTAGAAAGCCTTGGTTGCATGTTATTTCTTAGCCTACATTCAAGGGAAAGTTGTAGAGACCAATGTGCTTTGGATAATTTGAAGACAGGTACACACCATTTGTTAGGCATACAAAATGTGTTTAAAAACTAGTGTAAATTGTGCAATCCAAAAAAGAGGTCAATCGATGTCTCCACAAAACCGAACGGGCTTGAGCAGTGCTGAGGAGAGACTTAAATTATTACTTCTTTAATGGTTTTTCCTGCTCTTTTTGTTGTTTTGTATATATTGTCATTCTTATTGATTCCAATAGCCTGAGCTTGTATGTGTCTGTGTTCCTTTGTTGGAAAAATAAACAATGTTTGCCACAAAAACAAAATCACTTATTGATATTTCGCAAACTTTGTTCATCCCAATATTAACATGGTCAGTGCTATAACCCCTTCAGGGATCTTGGTACCACTGATTGGGAAGCACTGCTGGACCATATAGAACTTTTAGTCAATAAAATCCTATTGAGATTTAATTATCTCTCTTGCAATGATGCCCTGTCCAAGAGGCATAACAAACACAACCAGTATCTCTGCCGACATGTTGCCTAAACCCTTTCGTTATAAAACAATTGAGTGCATTTCCAGGTCTTTCAGAGGGGTGTCAAAAGGCAGCATAGCAACAAGATTTATGAAATTGATCTTTTTCAGTCAAACATGTTTTCTTACAGCAACGCTACTGTTACTTTACTACCCTCCCTTCGCCGTAACTGGGTCCAAAAGCAGGTCGGGATCTTGGGGGATGTAATTAGACAGCTGTGTTATAGCCGGAGTGGAGGAGTGTTGCAACAGATACGACTCCGCTCGCTCTCAAGTCGAGTCTAAGTGGAGGATTAGAAGAAAATGATGCGTTGATAAACACATTTCCCAGACTTGGCTGCTGTAGCGGCCTCTCACAGATGTTGTTGGGTCGACCCGGTGATTAAAAGGCGTGAAAGTGAGCGGCCAGCACTTTTCACACGGATATACTGCAGGATGTCCAAGATAAACAACTGTTGCAATACTTTTTCTGATGAGCTTTGAATCTAATGAGAGCGGGAATGAATAAATAATGTCATGCATTTTTTATGACGATGGTGATGGAGTTGGTCAAAATGTTTCACCGAATAGCAATATGGGATACATTTTCAATATGTTCACTTTTGAAATGTGTTCTCTTGACTTCATGCCTGTAGGAAATGTACCATAGGATGGCCAATGTGTGCATCAATAATAGTGGTAAAAATAATGATAAAGATAATACATTACTTGTATAGAACATAGTCAGCACAGAGAAAGACAACATAATAATATAATATATAAAAAAGAAATACAGGAGAATAAAGCAGACATCAATGTTCTATTTCTAAAAATATATATGATTGTGGGAGGGCACAATAATTCTTTTATGTAGATGCATTATTTTTATTCTTGCGGCCTTTTCTTACTTTATTATTTATTTTATGTATTTTTGTTGTTGTAGGGACCCACACAATCCAAACATAAGCAATATTTTTTACCAAAAATACTTTTCTGCATTCAGTCTTCAATAAATGAAATATGAATGCACAAATTATAAGGCTGTGGTTTTGTTCAAAAGGTGGCAGGGCACAATAAAAGGAGCTACAGTACAAGCCTTTTTTTTGGGAAATATTATATCAAATCCTATCAAATTGCATGTGCCCTTCATTGGTATGTATTTTATCAGCCAACTCAAAAAAAAAAAAAAATGCATTCAGATCATTCAGATTAGTTTCAGTGCAAGAATAATTTCAACATTGCTTTAATATCATTGTCTTGAAATTAGATGCCGATCCAACCCCACAACATTTGCGTGAAAACTGGTTGCCGCATAAACTTTAGGCCTTACATATACGCAGCCAACCCGCGGTAATCCAAAGCCATAAGCTACAGCAGCAACATCCGGGCTGACTTATCCGCCCCGCAAAAGCAAAGGGAGTGAAACGGAGCATGAAACTAGTTCAACTTTCTATTTTCTTTGAGCTTCGAGTCCGCTGAGAGGAGCAGGCAGGTCTCAGGGCGGCCATTTTCAGACAGTGAACAGAGGAGCGGCCGCTGGTACCAATAATAGATGCGTTTGTAGCTTCTTCGGGGAACAAGCGTTGTTCGCGGGGCGGCCTGTGTGGTGCAGTGACAGGTGGAGAATGGCTCAGTGGGGACAAGTGCATTCTGGGACACCCGCCACCAGGAGAGGAAGGACTTTTAATAAGGTTTTAATGTGATCGCACGCTGGGTTCGAGTTGTGAAGTTGCAATGCAAGTGGGTCAGGCTTGCTGTAAATGTTTGCAGTAAGAACAATTGTGCGTCTGCTTGTCTCTTTGATATCTCTTTGATATCTAAAGCTGGGGTATCAAACTGCTTTGTTTCATAAATAATACATGCTGTTTGTTCCCACAGAAAGAGCCTTGTAAAATAAAAAAGTGGACAAAGAAGGTCAAAAAACGATGAATTGATTACTTAAGTAGTTGACTATAGTTGAGAGTAATTAATTAATGTGTTATAGCCCTATTGTGGAGGGCGTTTTTGGGTGGGTACCATTTAATTTAATTTGGAAAAAAAATTTGAGAGTATAATACAATACGCAATACAATTTATTCTTGTATAGCCCTAAAGCACAACAGAAGTCATCTCAGACGACTTAACAAACCATTGAAATCACCAACACAGATCAGAGAATCAAAAGTTTAGACACAAGAAAAGAGTATAGAACACATGTTGATAAATGTCCATTCATACTGGATCATTACCACAGTCCTTCTAGTTGGACACCAACTGTCCAACAGACCCTCCTGCATCGGCAAGGAAAAACTCATAAGAAAAACCCAGTGGGAAAAAAAATGAGAAACCTCTGGGAGGGTTAGCCTTGGGGTTCGAGAGAGGGATCCGCTCCACACAGACGGACGGGCTATAGATCCAGAACCTAAGCTACAGAACATGGACTAGGACCATGCAGCGGACGCATAATGTGGACAAGTCCGGTGCAGGACTGAAGCAGCTCCCAGGCGGGTCAGGCAGGGCAGTCCGCTGGTGTAAGCTACATCAGTCAAAATGTTTTCGATAAACAAATATTCACACACAGAGAAGAGAAAGAAAGGGAAAACCTGAGGACATCCATTTTTTAATCTTTGTGTAAACTGTGTTAGCTCTGCATCTATAGCTATATTTTTGTTGAAGCTTTTTTTTTGTAAACAAAAAAAAAGGTTTTTTTTGTTTTGTTTACAATATGGGAGATACTTTAAAGACATTGGACTATATTTTTGAGCTGTTTTAAATATTTACATTTTTGTTTGGATTTAACCAAAGCTTGAGTAAAGTTAAGGACAGATTAAAGTTTTTTATTATAAATTCATAAACATATAACAAGCCATTAATGCTAATGGCTTGTAAAGTTGTAATGTTGCAAACCATCATTTAAATAGGGCGAGACAGTGTACAGCTCCCCTGATGTGGCCCCTCCAGTTCTCTGTTGTATGCACAGCTAAACTCAACTGTTTTTCACCAAGACTTGAACATTGTCAAAGTAGAAGCCTGTGTCATATTATAACTACAAGAATCTGAAATGCAATGGTTACAAACTCAGAAAAAGACAATCTTGTGCCATACTTGAACACAGCTTTGATAACGTCAGACTCTGACCTTTCCCAAGATCCACAGATCATCCCCTGACAAAGCACCTATTGTCTCTTCTCTGCCGAGGGGGAGAAAAACGCCTCTCCTAAGTGAACACGGAGTTCTGGAACTTCACGTCGCACCCGCGATATGTGTGCAGAGGTGCATGGAACACACACAATAGGCACAAAGGCACAATGGCAGAGGTGGAGAGGGAACGCCATCTGGAGAGCTCTCTTATTTACCGCCGCCACTTTAGCTCGGGTTATTACCGTCTGCAGAACAGCGCGTCCACGGCTCTGAAGAAAGGTTGCATTGTTCTCCCCGTGAACGCTCGCACCAAATGAAGTTTCATCTCAGACTTTTGATTTAGCACAAAACCAATCAGAGAGAGAGGGAGAATAATTTTGAATTGTGTTGTGCACTGTTTATTCCAGGTGGGTTTTAAGAAAGTTATGCAGTTGGATTGAAGTGTGTTGGAGACGGTGGAATGTATCAAAGCTCCGGTATGTATGTTATCAGCAAGAAAGACACAACATGAAATAATGTATTGTTTGTTTTTGGCTGCACTTTTGGCTGAAATACCTAACTTTGAAACTACATTCAACCCATGTAATTATATCCTCACTCTCTAGACAGTTCATTAACTAGTTTTCTCAGGATTTGTATTTTTGGCCCCTTTCACATCCTTAGATCAGCTTCACTCAGCCGATCAGCTCTCAATATGCAAACTATTACATGTGTTTTTTACAGCAGGTTGTGTACAGAATGTTACTGACACAAGGCTCTCTCTGTTTAGACAAACAAACTTTGTCTATGAAAAGTTAGGAGGTCAAGCAGTAAGACATGTATTTATTATTTTGGCTCTAATATTCTAAAGATTTCACAGCAGGAATGATGCTGCATAGATTATATCATCTTCTATTCCAGTGGACACTCTGAAAGGTGTGAGCTTTTGGATGTATGTAATACTTTGGAGGTGAAGTGCAAATGTAGGTTTTGTCCATAGTGTTTTTCCAAATTAGAGCATTAAAACTAGGGTTTGTAACTTTGAAACCAGTAAACATTTAACTACGTAATACAATCCATTCAACCAGTTCCTCATTCTCAAAATAGTAAGGATAACCAGTTTCCACATTCATGTATTTTTGTCACAAAAAGTGAAAAAGAGAGGACCACTCTGACTCAGTCAGTCAGTTTTCAGCCCAAAGAGTCAAAAAGAGACTAGAGGGACTCTTTCTTACAGGTATGTAAAGATAATTTGGGATAGGGTTATAGGTGCCACAGATTTATATTCCTTATGTTAATAATATTTTATTTGTTTTCAAAATCCAACTTGACGAGCAGCAAATACAGCCACTCAAATGTAAAGCATACAATTTCATAGGAATTTCAATTTTAAAAGAGAGTAAACAATGCCGAACATGACATAAGAGTGTAAGAACTCATCATGGTGTACCAGGTTAGAGATAGGGACCATAAGACGATAATTGGAGGGGGGTCGTGTTCCTGGAGCTAAAAACCTTATTTGATCAATTAAATGTATCACACATCCATTTATGACCACCCCATGACAACATATCACGTTAAATAATAATAATACTTATTTTAATTTCAAATAACTGGTCACAGCACGTTTTGCATATTTAGAATAGAAACACTTTTTCTATTTCAAATACTTCACCAACTGTTGTGAAATATACTGTACATGACAATCACAGTGCGTTATAGAAAGAAAACATGTCTTTAAAGAAAAGTAAATTTGCAAACTTCTTTAAATGAGTTTTTATTGCACACATATTCTACACTTTCCCTTTGAATAATTATGCACTTCAAATAAATAGAGTTTGAAGAGTTTGCATTTGACACAATGGCTATAAACCTATTCACGAAACACTCATTACGAAAGACCTATTCAACAAAAAAGTTGAAAAAAAAAAAAACCTTCATACAGATTCAGATTCATTTTATTCGCCATTTGCAGTATGTATACACCACATTGGAATATATTTGTAAAAGTTCCCCGTGTGCACAGGACAAGTACAGACACAAAACAACATTAAAAGACAAAAATAAAACAAATTTTAAAAACAGTAAACAAATGTCACAACAAATGTCACCGTGAAGTTGACCAACTTAAAACAGATCTATACGAGTGCAAAACATTAAAGTGCTCTATTCAAACTGTTAACAGCTCGTGGAAAAAAACTGTTAGCATAACGAGATGTCCTGCATCTCAGAGAACAGTATCTTCTGCCAGAGGGAAGAAGCTGGAACAAGGCTTTTCCTGGGTGGCCAGAAGAGTCTCTGATAATTCTCAGGGCACTGTTAAAAAGTCTGGATTGATAAAGAACCTCCAGAACAGGAAGCTCGCAGCCCACGGTCCTCTCTGCAGAGCGGAGCACCTTGTTTAAAGCTCTCTTTTCTTTATCTGTGATGTTACCGAACCACACAGACACAGAACCAACAAGCAAACTCTCAATGGTGCAGCGATAAAAGTTCAACAGAATCTTAGAGTTAGTGGTAAATTCTCTAAGTTTCCGCAGGAAGTAGAGACGCTGACGAGCTTTCTTTACGACTCGGTCAGTGTTTTTAACCCATTTCAGGTCATCAGACAGAGTTAGACCCAGAAACTTACACTCCTCTACAATCTGCACTTGGGAGTTATCGATTGCGACAGGCAAATGAGAACTATTGCGACTGAAATCAAAGACCAGTTCGCATGTTTTGGATGCGTTCAGCTGGAGGTTGTTTAGCCTTACTCCACTGAACCACGTTTTGGATCTCGGCTCTATAAGAGGATTCATCGTTATTACTGATGAGACCGATGATGGTGGTGTCATCAGCATATTTGATGATCAGGTTAGAGTCTGAGGAAGACACACAATCATGAGTGTACAGTGTAAAAAGTAAAGGACTCAAAATACATCCCTGAGGAGATCCAGTGCTCACAGAAACAACATCTGAAAAACAGTCATTGATTTTCACTCTCTGAGATCTGTCAGTTAAAAAGCTATAGATCCATTTACACATGGCAACACTTAAGCCGAGAGACATGAGCTTTTCAATCAGTATACCTGGGACAAGACAATTAAAAGCAGAGCTATAATCAATGAACAGCATTCTTGCAACAGATTTCCTATTGTCCAAGTGACTGTAGACAGAGTTCAGAGCAAAGGAGATGGCATCCTCCACACTCCTGTTCTGTCTGTAAGCAAACTGGAGCGGGTCAACACTCACAGGGATCTGGCTCTTAATGAAGTCCAGCACAAGCCGCTCGAAAGTCTTCATTAGGACAGAAGTGAGGGCCACAGGGCGATAGTCATTAAGGCATGTCACAGGAGTTTTCTTAGGAACTGGGATAATGGTCGACTCTTTAAAGCAGTTCGGCACAGTACAGTTCCTTAGCGACAGGTTAAAAATGTCTGTTAGCACAGGAGCAAGTTGCTCAAAGCACAGTTTCAGGACACGAGGAGGGATGCCGTCCGGGCCAGGGGCTTTCCGGACAATGGTGCTGGACAAGACAAGCCTGACTTCCTCCTGAGTCACGGTGAACGCA